GGTGCAAAGGAGAGGTGACCGACTTCAACCCGAGACACCCAGCCCCGACCATACTGAGGCTTTCTGAACAGCGAACATCCAGATTGGAGCAGGCCCAAGCTTGGTGGGCATGCACTGATGTCAATCATCGACACGGGTGAAATAACCACAAGCGTTTCAAGGATTTTGCATTGGTTGGAATTGCACGATGAATCATGTCCACATCAAAGCAAACCGATGAAGAAGCTCTAGCACCGGATTTCAAGTCGATCTATGGAATGAATAATAGCCCCGTCTCCTGCACCTAAGCAAAGAGAGCGTGCGGCACTGCTGAGTTTTTTCTCCTAAAAAAACAAATAAAAAATTGGCATTGCATCATCGTAAACAACGATAACGTGCCTACTTGGCTGAGGTATTTGTATTTAGCACATTGTTTGACCCGTCCATCCAAAGTGCTGAGTATCAGCTCCAATCGTCCACGATCCGTGGCACACAGCAGCGTATTGAGCGCATCACTAAAATCCAGGGACTGATAAAAAAAGAAAAACAAACGAGAGGTTGAACAGCGAATAGTAAGGCTTGATTAGCGTATATGTATATACAATACCACCGTATCACATCCAGTTAATGATAATCGAGTCCATAGACAACAATCTCTGTGAATGTGAATGAGATCTACTGGTATCCTCAAGAAGACTATAGCACAGCATGTATGCTGCGTCGCATTGTCTGTGTCGTTCTGGCGGCAGTTTACACATACGATCAATGGTGAGTATTCGATGAGTTACAAGCACTATACACCGTGGGGGGTGGTCGGGAAAGCGCTAACCCCCGAAGAAGTGTTTTACGACCTGGCTCTAGGATATTGGGGGGGTAAAACCTCGGGACGATTGATGAACTCAAAGACGCACAAAGACGCACACATGCGAAGGGGAAGACGGTGATCCCATTATTCCATTCATTTCATCTGCGTTTGAAAACGCGTCCCAGTTCGGATCGAAAAGTTACAATAAACATTTTAAAACTCAGTGTACGCCTCCATTCTCTCTTGAAATATATGTATATGCCTCTAGCCTTCGCACAGCCAAGTACGGACTGCAAGGAAGCAGTGTTAGTACATGGTTTCTGGTGGCTCCGTTTGAGTTCATTCGCCATTTGGTAGGTGTAACTGCAAAAAAGCAGTCTATGCATCCCTGTTAGTTGAACGGGCTTCCGTCATAGATGTTGGATCAGGTAGTAGATTTCGTCCACCTATTTAGAAATAGCTGCCGTGGTATGCCGTTCATCGAGTCGACAAGGCCTTCGGACCTGGGTTACCCTCAACCTGATTTCGCCCGCCTGTCAACTGTTTTGTCGACGTGTGGCCGCTGATACATGACGCAACTTCGACTTCGTGGAGCCACAGGTGGGAGTTGAGTATATGATGGAGGTCGGAAAGGAGAGGATGCTCTTCAAGAGGACACGACAGTCAATCAACTCAGAGGTACTATTCTCATCAGATACTCCACAGATCCAGGAATGCAGCTTCAGTTCTCTTAATCAGTACCACGCTAACACCAGCAGACCCGAGGATCAAAAGGAGATTCAGCCGATGGAAGAGGACTGTGTGAGGCCTGGACGCGTGTTCGAAGTAGAGGGGCGTCTGGGAAGCAGGAAGATATGTGGTGTTCAATTAACCACAGTAGTGGAGTAAAGCTTAGACTACGGAAGCAATGCTACAAAGAAATTTATGATCTACGTTCGGTTGTCGGACTAGTCGGTCGCCTGGTTCATGCTAAGCCTTGTTTAAGGGCGCACTCTGGCCTCTGAGTAACCCAGCACAAACACCTATGCAGCAGTGTTGTTCCAGATGAACTAGAGGCCAGTTGAATGGTTTATTAGTCCCCTCGGAATAACCTAGTCGGGCAAATGGAACTCGACAGAGGGCAATGGCAATGTTTAGCGGCGGGACACATTCACGTCACAGCGCTTACCGTAGACATAAGCAAAGTGTAATGTGCAGGGAACCTTTGACGAGTGATAAACCTTGAGCAAAACGGCTGATCGATTGTGATCATCTATTTGGCAGAGATCAGTGAAATACGCTTCACTGTACTACGCGGTAGGATGCTTTGATCATTTAGTAAATTTACAGTAATTTTATCGCGATTGGCGGTCGTTTCCTCTATTAGCGACCTGAGGAGTTACTCGGTGGCATACTAGCTCAGAACTCCCAGTTGATTAGATATCCGATTAGACAGCAACCGATCGAGCCTTATAATTTAGAAACTATAATACAAGGAATAAGATTCTGTATCTGAAGTTAATTTTCGACATTATTTCTTGCTGCGGCTTTGGTTTTCTCCATCACATGTTTACTTTCGCATCATCACGATGACCTTAATGGTTACCTACAACACACTTAGTTTAATTTCCGTTGTAGTATCCGTAGAAAACATTGCTGATTCCTCTTTACGTGTTTTTTTTCTCGTTTTGTGAAAAAAATAGCTAAAGGGATCAGGAGAAATGCAGTCAGCAAAACGGAGAAAGCAACATGCTGGGTGGAAAGTTGCACTGGAGCACATAAACATGGAGGTTTCAGTATAGTTCTGTTGTCGAATGTCCGCTTACTTCTCTCAAATTCATCGGATATCCGCATTCTGATTCACAACGTGAAGCATTGAAAAGGTTCCGTGTTGCTTTACAGAGAATCTTGGAAACAAGAATTAGTGGATGATAATTTGGTTGAAATTGAAGGCTTTCATTCGTTTCGTGTAGAGACCACCAAGAAAGAAAACAAAATATGGTGGTGTCACCACATTTGTGTCAGTCGTGTTGTAGCCCAGCCGAATGCATATCTGCTCACTGCATACAAGACACCTCTTGTATTATAGTGGAATATAAACCACCTTTTCTCCTGTACGATTCTTCATTATTGCGAATATTTACATAATTGTTGACTGTAATCCTAGTGAGTTATCCAGCTTTCTAAATACACTTTACCCAATAATGTTGGGAAAAACTCTCACAGCTGTTTTCATCGTTGCTAATGAATTGAACAGATCGGATGTGAGTTATCATACACTTATGTCACTGCAGAACATTACTAAATTTTCCACTAAGAATGATATCTCTCTCTCTACCCCTTTCGGTAATGAACCATCTTTTTTCGTGCCTTCAAATGTGCATCACAGGCAATTCTGGTCAATGTGAATAAAGTTTTACCTACGATACACGGTAAAGGTAATCAAAAAATCTCTAAGAACAATGCCGTATATGCATACGGCAACATCATCAGTCCAATTTGATCGAAATATAAATTATGGTTTGTTCAGACTGAAAACCACTTTTTGATACAGCCGATTCAGTCTCTTGTGAAAACCTTACAAAAAAAATTTGTTATGATGAGCTCTGTCCCTATGATGAGATGCGCCTAAAACCAAACTGCTTTGTTTGTGGCACGCGAAATGGTTATGTAGGCCGAAAGAGAAGGCCTATCGCTCAAGAGATAAATTGACTGTCAAATCTGCCAACTTGCATGCCAGAAGCGAGACAGCCTACCTCAATCAATTGTATATTGACACCGTGACAGGGGACAAGCCCTGCGATCAACTAGGGGACGGAATAAAGTTGTCCTACTGCTATTCCCCTCAACCTACTTCAGTTTCATGTGACAACAATGAGTGAACGGTGAACAACAATGTGTGCGTATTCCCAAACCCAAGTGAAACGACATTTGATCTCCATTCTTCTGTAACTGTCACAACAGAGTAAGTTTTAAAGGAGCTGAACGCTGTCAACAGCAATAAAGCCTAGGATTCAGACGGGTTGTTCCCAGTAGTCTTAAAAGAAAGAGTGAATCACGTGGCCCAAATGGTTAGATCCATTTTTAATATATGTCAGCCAGAAGGTAGAATAGCTGATACATAGTGTGATGTTTGCATCATTCCAGTATATAAGAGGGAAAAGGATAAGTTTCGGCGAAGTGCTTTATTGTCGGTATGACTTAAGACTTTTTAGTGAATTATTATTGAGGTTTTTTCTTATTCTGCTGATTTTTGTGATTCAAACTAGTTCACCTTTTGGAAGCATCACTCTACTGCAGATGCGGTTGCCTGTCTTACACATTCCATTTAATCCATAACCGACCAAAAACAGGACTGTTCATGTTTGTTCTCTGGACCATAGAAAGGTTTTTAGCTCAGTTGATATAAACACCCCATTGACACTATTACAGCAACAAAATCTCACATCTCATCAGCTGAGATGAATGCATGACTAAATTACTGACTGACGCCAGTTCACATATCTTAGGGGTGTTGGGTCTTTCACTGTCAATGTATTGCAGGGCACAATTGTATCCCCTTTTCCTTTCACCCTTGACATCCATAATTCATCACTCACCCCAACTGTATTCACATTTATATATGTCGATGATATAGTGGTTAGTGGTGCAATCACCACCAACCTTTCAACCAGCCATAAGTTCCGTTTCTGAATGGTTCGATCGTGTTAATCTTTCCTTAAACCCAACCAAATGCATTGAGATTGTGTTGTCTTAATCGTGGCCATCTACACATTCCAGATTACCTGCTCTCAACACCTTAGTTAACAATTCGAACGTTGAAAGGTCATAGCAATAAAAATACCTGGGATGTGTTCTATCTGTTGCCTTTAAATGGTCCGTCCAACAAACCTATTTAAAGTCAGAAAGCTGACGTCGTGCATTTCATGCATTCTCTGTGACGGTGTCGTTGCACGCAATTTTTAAATTTATTTTCTCATGCGTTTTATGTCATTGGACCTACTGCTCCCCGTTATCTGCTCCGGTCTATTGTTGATCAGACGCTTTCTGAAAAGCATCTCCAGATATGAAACTGTCCTTTACGTGGCGTTGGTCGACTTCATTGTCAAACAACACCTCTGAGTGGCGCAATCCCGTCTGATGCATCACATTCTCTACACCCAACCCTCTATCGCTCCATCTCCACTTTCGTCATCCTCAATAACTTTCAACTTTGGATAATCGCACCACAGCTTTTGCAGCTCTGTTGCACCTTGTGTTCCTCGTTTATTGGTTTCCAGGTAAGTGACCTAAGACAGAATCTCGTGTAATGCTGCAGTTTCTACTGTTGCTACGCGTCCTCACTCTTCACCATGATTACCTACTTAAGGCATACCATTCATATCTTTAAATTCATCTTAATCGCATATACGCCGGGGCAAAAGTGACAACTTATTTCACTGAAAATTTTGTCCATAAAGGATGAATGAAGTGCATTCTTGACTTCACTAGAGAAGTAGATAGTTCAATGATCCGCGGTACTTTCGATTGCGAAGTAATCTGAATAGTTCTGTTTTTCCGTAGAGAGTAAATAAAACATGAATGATCGTTCGTTCCACATAATTTTCATACTACTCTAAAAAGTCGATGAAGAAAACAAACTAGAACAGGAAATATGGAATGAGGGGAATATTTGATATTCAATATAACTTTATTTTAGTTTAGCTCCTAAGAATTCACACAAAACAGCGTTTAAAAAGATGCTTTTACACAGAATTTCACCATACATGAAATGCACTGAGCAAGCTGGAAATTAACGAACTCCCACAGACTGAAACCCGTACAAGATCAATCCATACTCTGTTGGTGACTGCGCATGAACTGAAACAAAATTATGTATAACTAACCGATGTAACTAAATGCTTATGATGTGGACCGATGACGATAAAGCTCATGAGTGACGTTTACGACTTCCGACCCAAAGACTCGCGACTGAGCGCCATCAAAAACACACCTCTGAGTCCTGTACATTCATCTGTCAGTCATAACACACAAATTCGCCACAAAAAAGCCCTTGTTATTTTTGCTACGCATTTCAGAATAATAGGAAGAGATTTTAACGATGTGTAGTACGGGGAACAGAACCGGCAACCTTAACCCTACGACCGGCAGTGATTTCTAGCTTAAACTTAGGATGGGGCGGGGGACGGAGGCCAGTGGTGACCCTTATTGAGAACTAAAGTTCAGCCTGCTGCTTTCCGGAATTCCAGTTGGCTAAACGAAATGAGAATTTAGTGTTATGATAAAGTCTGAACGATAATCAATCAAAAAGAAACCATATGCACTACGACTAAACAGAGTATGATTTGTAAAAAGACTATATGATCGGTCCTTTTGCGAAAAAGGGGAAATCGGACAATGAACTCGGCGAATGTACAACACGGAAGATTTTCGGGGAAGCTATCAAATATCAGTTGTGAATAAACAAACTCGGTTCTCCTAGAAAAATTAGTGAAATTCCGACCGAGCATGGACTGTGCTGGCTATTGACTAATATTTATATGAGCTCGCAAAACGTTCACAATGAACTTACACTGGCCGACTGAAGAGCAAGCGGAACGAGATGACGACAGCATTCCTGTGGTGCGTCCAGATAGGTCTGCTGCACAAAGCTCTCTGATCGTGCACCTATCTCGTTCAGATCTAACGGCACACCTCGAGCATCGATCGCCGCACGTCTGCTAATAGCATATTCACGACTATAGAACAAGGAGTCCCCACGGGCGGGCCAGAGGATATCGCGACCGAGAAGACCGTGAANCCGTGAATTACATTCCACGACACCTCCGGTGAATTAGGGTTTGACGCGCACCCATCCTCTAAATCCCAGACGGCACAACGTAGATCCAAACCTGGAAGATTAACGGTGAATACCGAAAATAATGTATCCGATTGGGGCCAAAAGTAGTACAAGTTGAAACAAAAGCATCATCGCAGAATCGTCGTGTCATATAGGGATAGTGAATAAAAATTTCTTAAACTAATGGCATCCGAAATAGGTAATCGTGTGTAATCGGTGGTGTGCGCTCGCTGTTTAAGCGGTATAGGTCACCAATATATAGAACAGGAGGTCGTGGGTTCAACTGTCATCACCGACAATAAACTTTTGCCATTTGCGCTGTGCCATCTGGAGGTCATTGGATTGGCTGCTTTCCCTTCATGAAATTTGATTACATGAGAGTGATCGAGTGATTTAATTTCAAAGAGGGAATTCGTCGTGAATAGAGCAAATAAGGCGTGAACTGAAAAGCCGGAAGCACTGTACAGCTGTTTCGACCTGGTTAGGTCGCATTACCAGCGTGAATCAATACATCAACCAGGAGATCGAATCCATGAACTTATAGGCAGGACGTTGATGATCAGGTGGAAACAGCCGTACGGTGCTTCCTAGCTTTCAATTCACGCTTCATTAGCTTCGCACACGACGAATTCTCCCTTTTAAATTGAACCAAATCATTCACTACTCTCTTGTAAAATGCATTTCACACGCATCTGAATCCAGACTGTGCCAAAAAAATTCATCTTACAAAAATCTTTATAAAAAACAGATAGCTAAACGATTGGAATGTGAGCCGCATTTTGCCAGGTTGGCTAGGCCAAGAAAGGTGAATTTTCCCGGAGAATTCACAACCCGAGCCTTTGTATTGCCGAAGTTTGACCCGCAAGGCAGTGGGACAATGTGTGAAAGCCGCAATCCATTGGGAGCCGGGGCCCAGTTCATCGGTCACACACCCTTTGTACGGAATCAAACGTCCAAGATGCCCAGTACATCTTATTACCCAATCGAGCCTATGATCACTACCATGAACAGGAAGGTGTGGGTGTGGTTCGTACGCATCTTCTTGGTCCGTTTGAAAATAAGGGTTCTTAGCCAAATCCCCTAGGGTAACTGCCACTGGTTCACCAATCTTATCATAGCCCGGGATATTGGCGTTTTCTTCTCTCACTTTGGTGGGGAAAACACCTCCACAACGAGAAGGCAATGAGTTCGGCTTCTTAAGTAGTAGGCGTTTGAGACGCTTGGTCCTATGAGAGCATTTCACGAGGTGCAAAGGAGAGGTGACCGACTTCAACCCGAGACACCCAGCCCCGACCATACTGAGGCATTCGGAAGCACAGGAGAAACAGTAGAAATCTAAATTTAAAGTTTCAAGGGTTCCAGCCAAGGTAACTTGTTGACCGATCTGATAGTGTGCGGGCATTGAATGCGGCTAAGTGAAACGGAGATTTCAGTTTCAAAAGTCTCGTAGCTTCTGGCTGGTTGACCTTACTGCTTGAACACTGAATGATATCCAATGGGTGGCCCAAACAGGAGATATCTCCTTATATTTGGGAATGAGAGGAAGGACTGGACAGATGAGGAGGAAGGTTTTCCAAATGGATGTCTATGGCTTACGGTTTTCGTGAAGTGTGTTGTTCGCTGGTGTGTTGATTGACGGTCCACTGTTCGGGACGGCCCTTGGTTTCAATGAGGCAAGCGGAACGTGGACGGAACAGCAATTTATGAGCTGGTGACTGCCCAGCTTGAGCAGGCAGTAACTGTCCAATGAAAGAAGACCTCTCCCACTGTCGCGAGGAAGCCTCAGGTACCCCGTTTTNCCCCGTTTTTTTAGCGGTAAACTGCCCCTCCCTGTGTTTGTTTGATTGAATAACCTCTCCAGGGGCGAGAGTGGATAGTCAAAGGAAGTTAGAAGGTGCCCAATCAGCTGACCTTGTGAGGCTGAGCCTTATCTGACCTCTAACCATTGACGTTTTGGGCACGATTGAATCTACAGGTGTGAAAAATCATAGTGCGTAGCTTGTAACGCCATGGAGGCAAGCAAGTCATTACACTGCGTCAAGGTGCAGTCTCGTTGTGATGGATACATGGTCATCACAGCAGCACAAACCTTGATAGCCTTTGGTTGTTCGTTAACCAACCAACCCTCATTTCACCAAGTTACCAGCTGTTTCACATTGAACGAAAAGAGAAAAATATTAACATTATTAACTATAGCAGTATTATCGAACTGGGGATATGAAATCGAACCGAACGACAAGATTTTTCAATAATGCATGAATGCATTTAGTGCAAACAAGTCTCTACAATAGGATCATTACTGCTATTGACTTACCTTTGGCAATTAGATATCGACCGTTTATTGGATTCAAACAGAGTGAGACAATTGGACTGTTGACCAAACGAAACAGTCTCACCGGTGCAAGATGTTTTTTTGATGCGTTAAAAAAATGCGGATTGAGACAACTTAGGTCGTACTGGGCCACGTGACCTGAGGGAGATAGAATAAAATGGTCCATTATCTTGAGATATCTTATCTTGAGGATCGGTGACCTTGAAGCACACGAGAGTTTAAAATACAGACGTAATCGCATTGATCGACATCTAGAGAAAAGACGGACAATATCACGAGTGTGATATTATAATGACGAAAATTGACAGCATCGAAATACAGTTGAAAAGCTCCAAGGAACAAATTGAAAAAAACGCAAGAATGCCACTGTTTGCGGCATTCGGCCATATCACTCAGTGTCTCTAACCACCGCTTACCATGATCATGGGGTTCCAATCCATGGAGCCTAACGGTACATATGTGACCCAGTCTCCTGGTTGGGGTTTCACACTCTCATGCCAGGTCTCAATTTGACCGCCCTTGACCTCTTTCCATCCACTACGTGCTTCGGCGTACATGGCGCGTCGTGGCAGTCCATTTGGTGATATGCGATCACCTAAAACCCTCCACCTAACCTCAGTAGTGCTCCGGTTTTCCCACTAGACTTGCGATGCGGTGGTTTCAACACCAACAGTCTATATTTATCCCGTTTTCTTATTGGTTAAGTTTCTGTCGGGTATAGCAGAACTGGTCGAACTGCCGGCAACATACACTCGCCCTACATGGACAGCCGGATGTCGCGACGGTGTAACAGATGTCTCAAGTTAGCAAACGCCAAGCATTATGTATGCATGCCGACATTTCCTCCGTGACGCGAATCCCAGATGAGAAAATTTTGTGCACTTCCACCACTACTTAACCAGTCACGGTGAGGTTGGGGGTTGGGCTAACCCAATCTTGTAGCAACATTTAACACTTTGAAGGTACAAAACGCATATTGAACATGGCTACGCTAGCACTCAAACTATCCAGAAAAGCTTACAACTTGCATGGATCTTCATTTAGAAGTATAATTTCATTTGCATTCTCCAGCTCTGAAGGTCTATCACCTGGGAGCAAATCTATTCCGGTATCCCCGCACGGGGACAGGGTTGTTTCGAGAACCACATACCCTTTAGAGAGAGGTAGTACCAGAGTTCAGAGGGGTCAATTGAGTCGAAGGCCGTTTTCATATCGAGGAAGATAGAAATGGTGGGTTTACGAAGAGTATCTGTGTTGTAGAGTTTGGCGCAAAGTGAAAATGTGGCGTATACAAAGTCGACCAGGTTCCCAAGGGACGAGCCTGCAGCTCTTAGTCAGTCAGCCTCCAAAGCAGCACAGTCATCGCGACGGCCTTAGTTAACGATAAGCCAGATTCGTGATACCTTCTACAAGCATTGCTGTATTTGTTCTAGAGGTCTCTAGCCAAACGTAAAACCACCACGTTCCTAGATATAGCAGTTGATCTCTCACGGCCGTTTCTTCAGATCACAGTTAACCAACCAGGCAACCGTTCTCCTACACATATATACATAATTAAAAATAAACCTGTTTGCTAAGTCGTGTTGGTCTTAATGAATTAAATTTACCTAGGAGAGAGGTAGCCAATCTCATCGACAGGACTGATGTCTTATAAATGCGAAGGAAATATTTTTGATGGCCATTAAACAGCACTGCACGATTGCTGGACCTGTTTGGAACTCGTCAGCAGTACGCACTTTTCGTGTCCCTGTAAGGACTCGAACAGCGAACCTCCTGGTTGAAAGTCAACACCCTTTCCCACCAGTCCGAAACAGCAATTTCACCTACTTAGACAAACGCTGAAACTCCATCCCCAAAAACTGATGGAGACAGTCCATCTGGATCGTGGGGATTACACCTTCTGAGATAACTTGTTTCCCGGGAATCCTGCAATGCAGATGCAGGATTTATGTCATCTGAAAGCATTTGCCCAGTTGAGGTGATAGAGAATAGACCTCATGTCGATGGGGGCCAGTTGAACTAAAACTCGAAAGGTTCAGCCCATCAGTCAAGATGGCGTTGCTGATGATAAATCCGTGTGCCATCGGACTCCTTAATTACCGCACTTGAGCCCGTATTCTTGATTAGAAGGAAGAGTGCGACTATTACCAATAGCTGCAGCTTTCTCCATCTCTCTACACTTTCTAACCCACCACTTCTTGCGGTCGTTCCTCACATTCTTGATAAAAAGAGTTGCATACCATGTCGTATCGGGTATAATAAGGAATGACTCTGCGAGCATCCAGTGAATTAAGGAAATACGTCGTTCGTTTTTTCATCGTGCGCTCAAATCCAACGTTGATTTGCCCGATATTTGATAACCTTATTGAACAGTTTCTGATTCAAGTAATCTTGAATGCTGCACTAGCCTTTCAGATAATTATCAATGTTCTCACCATTACCATAAAGTGAGGGAAGAAATAAACTGAATGAGTCCCTAACTCATGTATTGCAAAAGACCAAAGAAGATGCACATTGCGTCAGAAGTGATGACACAAATTAGTATGGACAAAGGAAACAGATGAAAAATGCTTTCTGGCTGAGGACAAGATGCTTACTAACATTTTACAGGACATTAATGGTCAAACTATCGAAGCACATAAACCATCCGTGTACCGCAATCCCACGATTGTGATGGGCAGTTGTACTACCGGTCATTGTGATATATCTCCACCGTCATACGACAGTTGATTTCGCTATGTCAGGGTTGCTGGTTTTCTTACTTCGAGAATCGACTACGAATACGCTGCGCTTTGTGCTGTACCATACGACAAAAAGTGGCACTCAGCATGCGGTTACCGCTGACGGAGTGAGTGCAGGGAAAAGGTCAGTTTTGCAGTAAGCTCTTAAAACTAACTTCACAACATCAAAATCAAACGGAGAGCACACCAGATACAGACATATTACGGTTGACTGTGTATTGGCAGTATGCATAATGGATTAGTACGCATGGGATACACGATGCTTGACTAATTTGTGCAGCTAAGAGCTAATCTATCGCTCCGGAAGAGAATGCATCTTGATTTGGTGTGATGGCTTGTGAACCTCTAAGACTCAACGAGCTACATAGGATACCCTTTGTGAAGTCGAAGAACTAATCACGCCTAGAAGACCGAAGTGTAGAGATCAAACAAAATGCAGTCTTCTGGTCCCCAGGGATGGGGTTTGACTCAAATTAGCGATCCAGTCGGCAAAAAGTTATGGACTAGTAATCGATCCAAGCAGATGGGCCTCCAATCCGCCTTGCGGTTAGGTTCTAGTCAGAACCAAGGGCTTTGAGTCAATAGCCCCTCAACAGTACTCCATGAAACTCTAGTGCATACACAAACGGACAATGATTTACGATGATGATGATTTTTTTGTTGTGTTTAGATTTGTGTCACTTTTACTTACTTCTACTCCCTCCTGCTCGGAATGATTAACACAACACAAACTAATGAACACTTGCTAGGATGAAAAAAGAGAAACGTAAGCGAGCACACACTACAAATTAATCAGTGAATGTGATTTGACATACCTCGTGAATAGCCCACAAAAAGACGATCGGGGAACTCCGGGCGAATATGCAAACGCGTTGGCCATCCAAGCCAAGTGGGTTTCTCTGATGAAAACAAGTAGAAATTACCATTATTCTCATTAGTAACAGTAAAACGACCAAATCACTGAAAGTATTTTGCTATCCCTAAAAAACCCTAAAGTTAATCAAGACAATGGTGTAGAAGAATTTCGAACGAAAAACCAATGTGTGATTGGTTCTAAATCAGATTTAGGTCGCAAGATGAACAACAATGATCAGTTATCATGAGCTGAAGCCTGGTTGATCGAGAAGGTGCGCAGCTGTTCAGAAACCTTCGGGAAAAAATCAAACACAGTCTTTTGGTATACTTTCTAAGAAGCGCTTGGTTTTACGCATTCCCAAATAGGAATGTGTTTCGGCAAACCTGTGCAAAAAAGTGGGCATCAACGAGGAAGTTGATCCCAGAAAAACCTTGCAAGCAATCCGAATTCCCGTAAAGAAAATCGTTTTGTGGATGAATGTACATGGTAGGGCGTAGAGTAGGTAGAGCCTACGAAATATCACTGTCAACATCGCGGCTGACATAACCAACAAATGTATGCCCTCAAATCAACGAGAACGTGTGCAGGGACCACGGTACAGGAATGAAATATTGCCTGACAATCATTCTTTTTTTGCAGTCAAGCCGAGTTCACAGTCATTGTGTTGGATGATCGCGACCGCACAAGTTTGTTTTGTATTTGGTGCGACTTATATGATCGTATACAGTCCGGTCCATTCTACATCTGATGACCTAACACCCAACTTGGCAAAGGAATAAAATAAAGCACTTGCCGGACTTCAAACCAACCTCGATTGAATCATTATTTCATGTTGTCAAGCATATATATATATTCCACTTCCAATTGCTCTCAAGATCATTAACACGTTTATCAAGAAGTAGAGGGATTTCATATGAAACTCTTTGTCTGTTCATCATTTCACAACATACAAAGTCATGCTTTTCGCTCCCAACAAAAATCCTTGACAACCCTTCACATCCGTTACATCAAGATTTCATTAAATGTGTCCTCCTCTTTTACCCGGTGCCGCCGCTATAACTGTATATTTGCTCGCACGATCGCCAATCGGACTTGTGGTGCCTTATCTTGCCCGAATTTTTGTCAGCCCAGACCGCATCGCATCAGAACTTAACTCACTCACACCGTAAACTGTTTTCTTTTCTCCTTACTTACCCCGATACTGCTATAATTGTTCGATAATTGTTGTTTGCTATGTGGCTGCTAAATATCCACCTTTTGGGGTGTATAAAGCGAATACTTGACTTAACTTGTGTAAAGCACTGATTACGTCATAGAACCATACTACTTCTGTAATAGTTTGGAAGTTAGATTTATGACACTCCATGAGTAAACTTCGCCACAATCTTTATATCAGTTTTCTTCGTTTAATGGAGCCCACCGTACAGCCTACCTCGTCTTTTACGCTCGGAGCATCTTTTGCTGATTGCTGATCTACCATACCCTGTTTGAAAGATCAACCCTGTGGTTAACAAATAAAGACCATTCTTGACACGACCCGGCTTGAACAATTTAACCGTAACCCTCAGCAACACGTTTTTATTGGTTGTTCGCTTTTTCTTACTTTCCTTTAATACTCCGTTCCTTGGTCGATCGGATGGACAACCCCAAAACCTATGAAAAATAGTGATCGGAAACGCGAGACTAACATGAGCACCCAGTGAAACTGCAATCAATAAATACACTGTTTCTATTCATAAACCAGATGAATTCTTCACGTTCCCAGGGAAACGATATTACGCTTATGTGACCGAAATACTGACACAAACACCGGCAGTAAACTCCATCTAAAATTCACAAAAATCCCAAATAATGAAATTTCTGACTACGGGCTTTTTTATTCAATACTAATACGGTAAATTCTGCAGATTTGAGGACCTACCTACCACGCAGTCAGTAGAACCTGAAACCTAAGGGGTGGGTAGAACTACACGCCAGGCTTTGAACGAAGAAGAGTGGAAGTGAAATTCGAAACGGCAACAGCAGTGACAGTTGATAATACCAATAATTCTGCACTTCATTGTTTCGGTCCTTCGACTACACTTCCGGTCGATGAATGAAGAAAGAAGGGATAATATGAAATAGTAATACCAAGGTATAAATCCAAAAAGATGGGATTAGCATGTGAATACATGTTAGTGTTTACGACATTATACTTTACTGTTTGTTCAACAAATTGTCCACTATACTATGCTTTGCTATGCTATGCTATTCTCTTCTCACATAGCACACTACTTGTCCACCTCAGCTCGCAAACTACTGATGTTTGTCAAATAAGCCATCAACTAAAGGTATACTCTCTTTTCATCGGTATTAGAATGTTTGAATCCGATTATTGAAGTGCAGCAGTAACTGTGAGACCCCAAATAGTCTGAAAAGGCCCGGGTTGAAATCTGTTTAACTAATGCAGATATAATTAGCAGTTACAAATGACAGATCATCATAACCGTTTGGTGTATAGCTTAAACCTAGCTTTTGTGCATAAGTGCAGTCTTCCGAGCATGTGCGCGTGCATTCAAACCCCGACTAAAACGCAGAGCACAGTGAGAAGCTCTTGGGACAGCTGAGTGAACCCAGTTAACCACTTACAGACGGGGTGATGATTACAGAACAACAAACACACTTGTTCCCGTAGGAGTGGGAATTGACACCACACGGACGATTTGGACCTCTAGAAAAAATGAGATTTCAGAGACACTGGCTGATATACCAATAGAAACTGCAGAAGACACTCAACTACATCACCCAATGATTATAACCATTGGCCTAGGCCCACGGATACACTAAGGGACATCGACGTGGAATCAAACCACAAAAGGTAGAGTTCTTCAGTCTGTTTTGTTGTGGATGTTTGCATCGTATTTCACTAAGGTGTCAAGTATGACGGAAGCGCAAATCTCTTGAACGCTAGCTGATCAAGAGCCGAATAAATGACTGCAAGTAATATTAATGATAATAAAATAATAATGAAAATAATAATAATAAAAATAATAATAATAAAATAATAATAAAATGTCAGGAAATAGAAAAGGATGCAGCTGATGTTAGTAGCCGCAGTCTATTCCGTAGTACCAAAAGTGCCGGTCAAAGTAAACACCAGTTTACCCCCAGTAAGGTTGTACAGAGTGGTGAGGAAATTAGTGCATGACGCTGTCTAACTGGCATCCATCAACAACTGGATTTATGAACTCATTTCTCAAGTCCTTTGTCTGAAGGCAACCACTCGAAAAACAAACCGCTTCAAAAGGTCTGTGGACCGAATAAGTCTATTTTCAGTCTTAAATATGAGAGTTCAGTTGTGAACAACAAGCAGACAAAAGTCCCTAATGGAAGGAAGAACGAATTAACAAGTAACGGCATCATACAACTATCCCAGCGATTTGCAAGAAATTGGATAGCTCCCTTGTAAAAACTACAGAGGAATTACGGTCACTAGCATCGCTCTGAACTCCCTCACTGAGATTATACCTCGCCGATTAACTGGTGCACCCAACCTGTGTTCGGGTAGGTTTTGGGCATGGCCAAAACTGCATACATCATGGTTCTACCTTTTATCAGCCCATAGAACACATGATTTCCTTCCGTAAACCCACTACTTCGTTTTTTCATCTGGAAGGGGCCTCCAACTCAGTGGATTGTGGTGGAAATCAAGCAGCATAAACAGCTTTTATTAACGTGCTCTGAACCCTAGGGTCTAAGGTTCACACCATTCAACCCAATTGTAGAGGTAAATGGTGGATTTCGCCCTAACCCATTACTGCTTCCACAGCAGTAGAAAAAAAGTAAAATTCCTCTACTTAGGTAACTATAAATGGGCGAATCTCAGAGTGAGTTTCGTGAATAGTGACGATGGTGGAATTTCTGCGCCACCTGAA